GCCTCCCAACCAGCGCTATTTTATAGTCGATAGCTCGGCTTGTGGCACAGGTGTGTTACGGGACTTTGAATATGGCTCGGGAGGTCCTGCATAGTTTGCTCAATATGGTCTTATTCCGCATTGCATTTATCCTTCGCACTTCAACCCTGTCCTTTTCCAAGTGGTGTGATTTTTCCTCATCATCCGTTTGAGACTCGACAATGCATATCTCGATCTCCTTTGAGTCAGTGAGAGTGGATTGAGGGTGCATCATACCGACCTCCTGAATGTCTGGCGATTTCTTCAACTCAAAATTGTAGGGGATTCCTATGTCAATCACCCCAATCTGGCAACAGGTGTCTGGCTCGATGGGATATTTCATTGCCTTGAAAACATTGAAAGAGACTTTCTCTTCCCCCAACCGCAATGTCAATTGTCCTTGTTGTACGTCTATGAGCGCTCTTACAGTAGCCCTTTCTCCTCCCCCAGCCTCAATGTCAATTGTCCTTGTTGTACGTCTATGAGCGCTCTTGCAGTAGCCAAAAATGGTCGTCCCAATATGATAGGCACGTCTTTGTCTTCTTCCATGTCCAGGATTAAGAAGTCTGCTGTGAATATAAGTTTATCCACTTTGACCAATGCATCTTCGATAATCCCTCGTGGATGTGTAAGTGATCGATCAGCCAACTGTAGAGTTACTGTAGTTGCTTTAGGCTCTCCCAATCCTAGTTTCCTGAAAATAGATAAAGGCATAAGATTAATACTCGCACCAAGATCACACAATGCTTTATTAAAATAAAAATCACCAATTGTGCAAGGGACAGTGAAACTCCCTAGATCTTTCAATTTTGGTGGAAGCTTTTTCTGAATTCTTGCGCTGCACTCTTCCATTAGCATTACTGTTTCATGATCCTCTAGCTTGCGTTTATTTGATAATATGTCTTTTAGAAATTTTTCATAGCTGGGCATTTGTAATAGTGCATCGGCTAGTGGGATGTTGATATGGAGCTTTTTGAAGACTTCTAGAAATTTCTTGTAC